AAGGCCTGCTCAGGCCCAGGTCAGGGGGAGGCCCTGACCAACAGCACCCGTGTCCTCTGTTGAAAGGACTCAGCCCCTCAGGGACACAACACCGATGATGCTGATCAAAAGCCGTTAAGGCTCAAGGAGATGAAAGTGAAAGCCACCTCCAGGCCTGCTCAATCCACACTGCTTACACACCCACACCGTCCCACGGTGCCCAGAGCACACAGTGACAATGGTGACAGCTGATCTTGAAAGGGGAAACGGGGACACAGAGGACGTAGCAAGATCTCGCGTAGACTGGCGAGAAGGTGGCAGCACCCGTGTGGAGGGCCGGCCCTGCTCGCCTCAGCTTGGAGGAAGGGCCCTGCCACGCCGGGGTCTTGGAYGTGGGCCTCCAGGATGGGTGACAAGGACTGGGGTCTGTCATTTGTGTCGGCTCCTCTGTGGGACTCAGGCCTGCGCCATCCGAGGAGGAAAGGGAGGGGCTGGGCCCTGCCCACTTCCTGCTCCCCAGGGTCCTCCATATGCAAAGTGCTGCCAAGAGCCACCAGGCCTGGAGGTTTTAGACGGGAGGTGCCCACAAGGTCACCTGGCTGGCCATGGGGCGTGGCTTCCTTCAGAGGAGAAGCTGGGAGGAAAGCCACAGAGAGCCCTGGACACCACTGCCCGCCAAGGCTCCAGCCCCTGCAGCTGTTGGTCCCTCCCCCACAGCCACCCAGGTCCCTGCAGGATGGCATTTCACTGCCGGAAGAGCACGTCTTTCAGGACCGAGGGGCATCTGGTCTTCTGGTAGCATCTAGGACACACACACAGGAAGTCACCAGGAGCTAGAGGGGGCAGCCCCACCCAGGCCAGGCAGTGGGTCGGTGACCAGGCTCCCAGCCCCGCGGATGTCCCTCATGTCCCCCCATCTGGCCTCCTCTAGGTCTCCGTGTCCAGCAGATGCCCATCAATGTCCAGGTCTAATGGGCATCGGGAAGCGCGTCTGGGATGGCAGAGCCTGCAGGGGCCTGGGGCGGGCGACCAGCTCCAAAGCACCTCAGCTTCCAGTCCCTGCGCCGGGTCCAGGCCATGCCCGGCCCTGGGCACTCTGCCACATCTGGGCACAGAGCTGCAAACAGGTGACAGACACCGCGAGGAACTGACCAAGGCCTGCCACGGCCCCAACCCAGCTCGCAGCTCCCTGGGAGATGCAGATCCCCGGCTTYGAATCCAGCCTGAGGGCCACAGAGTGTCCACAGGAGCCCCAGGGCCTGTTGTCCTGCCCCCACCCCCAGAGGACACTCCTGCCCGAGTCTGTGAGAGCTGCCATAGCTCTGAGGCCGAACCCAGGCCACTCCCGCTGGCAGGGCACCTTCTCGCTGCGTCTCCAGGTTCAAAGACCTCTGGGCATGAACCCCACTGAGAGGACCTCTGAGGACGTGCCTGGCCAGGGCTCCACCAGCACATGGTGCCCACGACCTGACGGCCGGCTCCCAGGCCTCGCAGGCCTTCGGCTGGTCCTGTCTGGTCCCCTAGACCTGCCCCCACAGGGAGAGGTGCCAAGGCAGGTCAGCCAGTGGGCAGGCCCCGGGGCGAGGCTGAGCTCCTGAGGCCCAAGGACGGCTTTGCCACCAGGACTGGCCGCAGGCCATGGCTGCTGGTGGCAAAGCAGCCCTGTGAATCCGTGGCTGTAGGCGTGGAGAGAGCCAGCCAGTACCAGCACAGAAGGCTCGGGTGCCTGCAGGACACCCCAGTTCCAAGTGCCCCCTGCCTGAGTGGGCACAGGATGGGCACATCAGCTCCAGCCCWGTCACCAACTGCACCAAAGCCTTAGACCTCTCATGCGGCCCACGAGAGACCCCAGGGTCAGAGAGATTCAGCACCTTGGCAAGGCAGCACAGCCTGCACCTGGCGCGGGGGCTGGAAGCCGTCCCTACAGGAACTGGCCCCCGGCTCCCCCACCACCCACCTTAGCTTCCTGGATCTTCTCGCATTCTCCTGACCACTGACCAAGGCGGGCTGGCGCTGGGAAAGCGTTTCCTGAGCATCTCATTAAAACCGGGCATCGGAGCCGTTGGCCGGGAGCCGGGGTAAGCTGAGCCGAGCGGGAGGGTCATGGGCTGTGGCCTGCCGGTCAGTTAACTCGCAGGGCACACAGCAGGCCTTCCGGCGGGACCCTGGGCTTCCAGGCTGTCTGACTCATGCCAGGGGCCCAGCTCACAGACTGTCCATGCTACTGACACGGACAGCAGGACTGGCCATGTCCAGCTCACCCCCTGCCTGCGCGGCCAGGTCCACTCAACCTGGAAAGGCCCAGGTTGGAGGGGAAGCCTGGGTGGAGCTGGCCCCAACCACTACCTGTCTCTGGGGACTGTGCCACTGGATTCAATGACAAAGTAACCTCTTTTTGATTCCATAGGAATGTCCCTCACTGTCAGAAGCCACACGGGACATGAAAGCTAACCAATGAAAAGCCCCCGCGCTGCCCTTGTCCTCTGAGAGGCCCCGTGTGTGGCCCTTCCACCCTGGGAGTCTGCACACCACCAGGACATGGGGCCGGAGCACCCTGCACACACGTCCCACACGGSCCCCGGGGGTGGCCACACCACACACTTCCCCTGGGAAATGGAGGACTCGCGGGCTGGAGGTGTTCAGAGTTGTGTGTCGATCCCCATAATCAAGTTTGGAAACTTTTCGTCACCCTGGAAAGAAATCCTGTATCTGCCCCTGCCCCATTTCCCTTTTTCCCAGATCCTGGCAGTGACTGGTCTCTCTTTGGATTTGCCTGTGCTGGGCATGACACTCAAATGGAATGGCTCCATATGTGGTTTTGCTTTCACTCCATCATGTTTTCGGGTTATTCTGGATTATAGCAGATGTCAGAATTAATTTCCTTTTCACGGCTGAGTAATATTCCACCACACGTTTTGCTCATCCATTCGTCAAGTTAGGTACTCTGGGGCTCCTAGGATCATCCTGCTGTGAACATTCATGTGCACACTTTGGTATGGACATAGGTTTTCATTTCTCTGGGGTATACAGTAGGAGTCGAATCGCTGGGCCATGTGGTCCCTGCTCGTTGAACACTTTGAGGAACCACTGACTGCTCTCCCCAACAGCTACTCCCACCAGAGTCTCCGCATCCTCTCGGGCTCTGGTGCACCTGGCCTTCTGTTCCCGGCCCCCTGGCTGATGCAGATGGGTCCCTTCTTCTCCGCACTCCTGAGGGCTGAGGGTGAGCCAAGCTGGCCGTGCCCGAGTGGCCTTGGAAGAGGTCCCTGCAGGTGTGGCCTGTGCAGCCAGCCACCTTCCACGCCCACGCACTCCTGGCCCCTCCTGTGGCCRCAGGCTGCCCTGAGACGTCCCTGAGCCCAGGGGTTGAGGTGGGACCCGATTTACATGGTTTCTCTTTTGTGGCTTGTGTTCTTGGTGTCACTTCAACAGACTGCCGCCTGAGGTGACAGGAGGACCGGTCGCAGTGTTGTCCCCAGAGCGGGAAGTCCCAGCCCTCCAACAGCTCTGCAGAGATGACCTCCACCCTAGGTCCTCCTGCCACTGCCACAGCAGAGCCCGGAGCTGCCGGTGGCCGTGCTGTCCAGGGTCTTCCTGAGGCCGTGCCAGGGCGGGTCTGAACCACCAGGGCCCAGCACGGGCAGAAGCGGGGGCGGGAAGCCCAGCCCGGGGACCTCCAGGTGGTGGCCGTCCTCAGAAGTCACTTCTTTTCTTGGACGGGAGACTCCAGCCCCCGACGTGGAGACCCCCCRGGACACGACGTGGCCACATGCCCTCAGCTCCAGGAGGCCCCCAGCGTGCTCGGGGACCATGGGGCCGGGCGCCGCCCGCCCAGAGCAGGACCTCAGGGGCAGGGRTGAGGACCCCTCCCTGGGCCAGGGCTGGCCGCAGGGCCCCATCGTCCCTCTCAGCCAACCACGCGGAGCCCTGCTGTTTGCTCCCAGCAGCCGGGGACCACACACCAGCCCTTTGCGGAGGGTCCACGGGGCCCTGGGGACAGGCTGAGGTGTCCTCCTAGCCTGGAGGTTGGGCCGGAGCCGGCCTCAGAGCTTACCCTGGTCTGGCTTCAGGTCGACAGGCTGCCCCTGGCCGGAGCTGCTGCCCAGAGTGTGAGGAGCTGACGGGGGAGACGCCCTGGTCCCCGCCACCACCCTGCCACCGCAGACCCCGCAGCCCGAGGGAAGGACACCAGCCAGGGCCACCGAGGACATGCCTGGTGGGCACCACACCTGTGCCCACGAGGCTGGGGGTGTCGTGGGTGAGGCCGGAAGCCCGCAGGGGTGGACTCTGGTGGCACTGCCCCCCACTCAGGGCCCTGCCGCTGGGGGACTCGGCTGGGCACTGGCTGCCGCTGCTTCCCRGGCCCAGGCTCCCTCCCCTCCTCTTCTCTCTCCTGCCCCCTTCTCTGACTCCCCAGGCCCCTCGCCTCCTGTCCCTCCTGTCACCGTCACCAGCTGGCCGCCTTGTGCACTGACCTCCACGTCAGCACCAGGGAGTCCCTGTTCCCCGGAGCCAGGCTTCCTAGCTCCTGGGCCGGGCACCCACAGGACGTCCAGCAGCACCGACCCTCTCACCGGACGCCCAGGGCCCCAGCTGTGACCACCAGGCCTCCAGACCCTGCTGCTGTCCCCTGGAGCCATGGGAGCCCTGGCCGAGACCCACTGCCTGGAATCGGGGAGCGGCCAGGAGGGCGGCGCAGGGCGTRGTCGGGGCTGGCTGGGCAGAGCCCGGGGCCGTCAAGGCCCAGCTGCCTGCGAGCTGACCAGGCCRCTTCCTCCAGAGCTCGGCACCTCCTCCCGCACTCGGCCACTCTCCTCCCTCAGGGCCCTGTCTGTGACACAAAGCCCTGAGGCCACTGCAGGTGCCCTAGGTGCAGCCTCCCAGGATGTCCCCAGAGAGCCACATTAGGCCTCCGCTCCCCTCAGGCCTCCCAGCTGACCACGGGTCTCACGGCCTCACTCCACCAGAAGTGGAGCCTCTCCCGGCCACGTGGGCCAAGCTCAGGCCACCCCGGGCCTTACCTGTCCCTCCTCCGGGCATCCCCATGGAGCGTGRCCTCCTCCTGAGGGGCCAGGCCTCTCCCCCTGAGGCCGGAGCCGGCACTGTGGAGGCTGTGGGAGGCAGCTGGGCGAGCAAAGCGCCTCTGTGGCCAGCAGTCTCCCAACGACATGCCAGAGGGTCACGTGGCTGGCACCCACGCCCAAGGCGGGCAGGCCAAACCCTTCCCAGAACACCAGAATAGCCTCTGCACACGGCCTCTCCGCACATGCACCTGTTTCCCAGGCATCCGGGAAAGGGGCTCTGGAAAGGCCCCCGGGGGGGGACCGCTACTGACCCCAGCGCTGGGCAGCGGGGTAAGCACACAGGACCCTAGCCTGCACAGCACACAGAAGGGGCTCCAGCCCCCCACATCTCCTYTCCCAGCACGGCCGAGACGGAGGCGTCCCCAGGGTCCGAGGCTCCAGGGAAGAGCCTTCCACTTGTCCTGCTCCTGGTGGCCCCAGTCCCCACCCCGTCTCCCTGTGTGTCTGTGGACATAGGGCTGACCCCAGCCAGTATCACGACATCGGGACTAGAAGACCTGAGGCCACTGGCCTCCCCTGACCCYGGAGCACAGGACGCCCACTCCTGGGGGAGACTCCGTGTCTGAAGACCCCCAGAGGGCGGGGTGCAGGAGAGGGTGCACGGCCTCCCTCCCGTCCCCCCGGTGGCCCCAGGCCTGGGTGTCACTCCCCCCCCTGAGTTCCCTGAGCCAGTGGAGCCCTGGCCACCCCAAGTGCCCACACTGGAAAGGCAGGTCCTGAGGGGCCCAGGCCTCGGTGGCAGAACACACCTGCCTTCTGGGGCTCACCGCAAGGTGTGTGTGAGCCGAGTGGCAGGCCCGTGGCAGGCCCGTGGCAGGCCCGTGGCAGGCCCGTGGCAGGCCAGGCAGACGCCCGGGCCCCGCAGCTCTGTCGGGACTCCCAGCCAGGAGGCCTGGTGCTGCTCCCAGGGACACTGTCCCCAGGGCCTCTCTGCAAACTCAGGGAAAGGGGTGAGAGAGGCTGGCCCTGGGGCCCACCCTGCCCTCCAGGCCCTGGGGGGCAGGTCCAGCTGCAGCACCTCCTGCAGGTGCTGAGCACATCTGAGCCTTTACAAATTGACACCTGTCATTTAAGATGTGCCTGCGGCCCTGAGGTGACACCATGAGCATCCCCACAGGACAGCCAGCACATGGCCAAGCCTGGCAGGAGCAGCCTGCTGGGCGCCCAGGGTCTGAGGACAGCCCAGCCCAGCCCAGAGGAGCCAGGAGTGCTGGGCGGGGGGGGGGGAGGCTTTCCAGGGCAGGCGCCATCAGAGCCCAGCCGTGAGGAAGGAGCAGGAATGAGCCAGAGAAACAGGGAGGGGGGAGAGGGAAGGGGGCTCGGGTCTAGAGGCAGTTCCTGGGCTGCGGTGAGGTGGGGTCTGCACCCCTCCCTCTGTAAACTGGTGCTGCAGGGGCTGGCAGAGGGCCGCCCAGGGACTGGCCATCGGCCATGAGTTGCAGGGAACAGCATGCGTGGAAGGGCATGCAGCGGAGGATGCCCAGAACACGCCAGAGAGCAGGGTCCCAGCTCTGCCCCACCTCCRCGACAGACCATCTGCCCACGGGATCTGCCCTGGGACTGAGTGGCCTCTGCAGGGACACTGATTCTGCTTTTCTTTTCACAAAGTGTCAGGAGGTTGCAAAGGTCCCTGTTTCGKGGGCTCTCTTCACACCGCAGTTTCCTCCCCGTGAAGAAGCTTTTGAACCCGAGGCCTTCCCTTTACTGACCCTTGTCATGATTTCCTGAGCTGTAGGGCAGGGGGTTGCTATCCATGACATGTAAAGAACTAGAACCTTCCACCAGGAAACCAGATCTCCCAGAGAGTCMATGACAAGTGGATTAAACAAGGATGAGAGGCCCAAAATATGTGAAGAAACGTTTAGCCACCAACAAAGGAAACGCAGGTCGGAACCGTGCCGAGCCTTCCCCTCCATCCAGCTGGGGTGGTCACCGTCAAGATTGCCAATGACAACGAACGCAGGGGTCGCGAAGGAGTAGACGACACCCGGTGGCCGGGCTGCGCACCCACTCTGGAATGAGCAAGGCCAGGGGTGGCACCCCGTGTGGCCTGGCTCGGCACCTATGCTGAAGGTCACCCCTCTACAGCGATGGTGCGCACCCACGTCTACGGCAGCACAACTCACAACTACTGAGCCAGCCCAGGTGGAAGAGTGGATGAAGAAGATTCTACACACACACACACACACACACACACACACACACACAGACACACACAGACACAACACACACACACAGACACAACACACAAATACACAGACACACACAGACATAACACACAGACAGAATACACACACAGACACACAGACACTCAGATACAGACACACACAGACACAGACATACAGACACACAGACACACACACAGACACACACACACACAGAGACACAGACACACAGACACACAGACACACACACAGACACACACAGACATACACACACACAACACACACAAATACACACACACAGACACACACACAACACACACAAATACACACACACAACACACACAGAGACACAACACATAGACAGAATACACACACAGACACACAGACACTCAGATACAGACACACACAGACACAGACATACAGACACAACAAACACACATACACTTACACACATACACTTACACACAGAGACACAGACACACACACAGACACACAGACACACAGACACAACACACATACACTCACASAGASACACACACACASAKAYACACASASASASACACASACASACACACACASASASASACACACAGAGACACACACAGACACAACACACTCACATACACTCACACAGATACACACAGACACACACACACACACAGGCACACACAAGGGAGTTCCACTCAGCCATAAAGAAGGACGGAATGGTGGCATTTTCGGGGAGTGGATGGACAGGAGAAGACACTGAGTGAGATCAGCCAGATTCACAGGGTCGGAAGTCTCATGGGGGCCAGGAAGAGAGAAAAATCGGGAACAAGGGACCTCGTGAACATGGAAGGGAGAGCRGGAGGGAAGAGGAAGAGGGTCAGGCAGGGGACGGGGGAGGGCAAGGACAGGGAGGGGTCACGTGGACCAATCACGGTGTGCCTGTGCGGATCTGCCACAGTGAGATCCTCTATTCTGTACAGTCACTAGGACCAATAAAGCAAGGTCACCAGGAGGGGGCCCTGGCACACAGGAGGATGGCCCCGCCCTGGCTGCATTTCCCAGCACAGCCTGCCCTGGTCTCCCTCGGGGACACCCCCAGGTCCACATGGCTCATCATGGACACAGAGACCATAACTCCACTCTCCAGTGAGATCACGCAGGAATGTCTAAACAGAAGGCCCGGGTGGGGGAGGGGGGCTGGCCTGAGTGCAGTGGCCCCAGGGCAGGGGGACCCACTTTCCTGACCCTGCTTCCCGCGGGCCAGGACCCCGAGCTCGCTGAGCAAGGGAGGGAGCCGAGGGCCAGTGACGGTTTGCAGGTTCCTTTTCCTCCATTCCCCTGCATCTCCCTTCCTTCCTGGGCTGAGCTGCAGCAGGCTCCAGGCCTGAGGGATCAGGGGAGGGAGGCAGAGGCGGCCTGCAGGTCACCTCCCTCTGGAGCCTGGAGCCTGGGGGGTTCAGGTGGTCCATGCCTGAAAAGGAGGAGTGGGCCTCTGAGGCAAAGCAGTGGTGGCAGAAAAGAGAGGGAGGGAGGGAGGGAGGGAGGGAGGGAGGGAGGGAAGGGAGACCCGGAGGGAGATCCTCGGGCTTCGAGGTGACTCCTGGCTGGTGGTGGAGCTAAGGTGTCCACACCAGGCCCCTGCACACGGGTGCTGCAGGGCCAGCATTCCTCTGGGGGACAGATGGCAGCTCCCAGCCAGGGCAGGAGGCATGGTGTGGCATGGACCCCAGAGCATCCCAGTATGGTTGGGGAAGAGCACCACAAGGGCCACCTGCCCCTGGCCCCACCCAGGAACTCTGTGTGACCCTGGCAGGGAACTGGGGAAAGGAGAGGGCCCCAGGTGTTGGACAGTTACTGTCCACTACAGCCACCTTCCCCCCAGGGACCAGCTGCTCCAAAGGATTTTCCTGGAGGAAACTCCTGCCTGCCCCTCCTGTTTTTAGCCATGTGATTGGGCAGGACAGGCCCCACCTCTAGCTCTGCTGAGCCCTGATTGGCTTAAGATAAAGTGAAATCTGCATATCCCATCTGTGGGCCTGGCTCCCTGGCCCACCCTCCTCAGGATGGGGTGAGGCTAGGAGGAGGGTCGCTGCAGGTCCTTCTGCACCACATGTGCATCTTCTGGGTGATGCTCAGGCAGAGTCAAAGACAGGCAGAGCTACCATCCTGAAAAGTCATAACCTGAGGGTCAGGGGACAGGGACAGGTACTTTGAGCAGGTTCTCTGTCACTAGGTGGTSGTTTCCAAACTGCTCAGACATTGGCATATAGAAAGGGCCCTGTGCACTGTAGGTAGTGGCCCTGCAGGCACAGGTGCCCACGCCTGTGTGTGGCAGGGACTGAGTTTAAGGCCTCCTGCATCCACACCCTTCCTAGGGTCTTGGAGAGAGTGTATTTCCTGCCCCATGACTCTCTACTTGTCTCTGTGCTGCTCTGGCCCAGGGCACACAGGTGGATGTGAGCATGTGGCAATTCCAACTCTAGGCCTGAAAGAAGCCTCATGGCTCCTGCTAACCCCACGGAGCGCTCCACAGTGCAGGGCTCCCTGGGGCTACCGTGACAGATGACCCCAAACTGAGTGGCTTTAAACAACAGAAGTGTCTTCTCTCAAGTTCTGGAGGCCAGGAGTTCAAGATCAGCATCCCTGGGCTGAAATCAGAGTGTACAGGGCAGTGTTCTCTCTGGGGGTCTCGGAAGTGTCCCCGGCCAGCTGCTGGTGGCTGCCACATTTCTTGAGGCTGTGTCACTCCGATCTATCTGTTTCTGTGGTCATGGGTGCTTTTCTGTGTGTCTGTCTCTAACCAACTTCTGCCTCTCCCTCGTGATGGCAATTGTGACAGCATTTGGAGCTCACTGGATAATCCAGGAGCGGGCTGAGCGGCCTTAGAGTGATCCCATCTGCAAGCTCCCTTC